AAAAAAAAAAAAGGAGGAGGATTGGCAATAGATGTTAGCTCAGAGCCGGTCTTCCTCAGCCAAAAGAGGAGGATTAGCACGGATGTTAGCTAGGGCTGATCTTCCTCACAAAAAAAAAAAAAAAAAGATTCAGTGCAAACATTATCTCATTAATTCTCTGCTACTTTTTACCCTGTGCACTCATAGTACTTATCTTCCCACCACCCTTTGGAGCATAAAGACTGTTTTCGTGTTCTCTATAAACTTAAGATCTAGCATAATTTCTAGTACATACAAAGCACCTAATAATAAAATGGTAAATGAAGGAATGAATGGTATAAATATATCTTGGAATCTGACTGACAATGGTGGGCAATTGATAGCAAGTCAAAGAAGGCAAAATATGGATAATAATTAAGTATAATTGAATGCCTGCTATACGCTAGACAGAGGACTAAGCCATTTCATGGACTTTTAAAAAATTGATATATAGGGCCAGCCTGGTGGCGTAGTGGTTAAGTACACACACTACGCTGGGGTGGCCTGGGGTTCGTGGGTTCGGATCCTGGGCGCACACCGACACACCGCTTGTCAAGCTGGGCTGTGGTGGCATCCCATATAAAGTAGAGGAAGATGGGCACGGATGTTAGCCCAGGGCCAATCTTCCTCAGCAAAAAGAGGAGGATTGGCATGGATGTTATCTCAGGACTGATCTTCCTCACAAAACAAAACAAAACAAAAATTGATATATAACCCACGTAACACAAAATTCACACTTTTTTTGTGTGTGTGTGAGAAAGATCAGTCCTGAGCTAACATCCATGCCAGTCCTCTTTTTTGCTGAGGAAGACCAGCCCTGAGCTAACATCTATTGCCAATCCTCCTCCTTTTTTTTCCCCTTTTTCTCCCCAAGGCCCCAGTAGATAGCTGTTATGTCATAGTTGCACATCCCTTCTAGTTGCTGTACGTGGGACGCCGCCTCAGCATGGCTGGAGAAGCAGTGCGTCAGTGCGCGTCCGGGATCCGAACCCGGGCCGCCAGTAGCGGAGGTAATGCACTTATCCGCTAAGCCACAGGGCCGGCCCCAAAATTCACTTTTAAAGTGTACAATGCAGTGGTTTTTAGTATATTCAGTTTTGCAACCATCACCACTAATTCTACATTTTCATTACCCCCAAAAGAAATCCTATACCCATTAGCAGTCACTCCTCATTCCCCCCTCTCCTCAGCTCCTGACAACCACTAACCTACATTTTGTTTCTGGAGATTTGCCTATTGTGACATTGCATGTATATGGGATCATATGATACGTGACCTTTTGTGTCTGGCTTCCTTCACTTGGCATGTTTTCAAGGATCACCCACATTGCAGCATGTATCAGTACTTCATTCCTTTCTATGGCCGAACAATATTGCATTGTATGGATATACCACAATTTGTTTACTATTCACCAGTTGATGGGCATTGGGGTTGTTTACACTTTTTGGCTATTATGAATAACCCTGCTATGAACATGTGTGTACAAGTTTTTGTGTGGATGTATATTTTCATTTATCTTGGGTATATACCTAAGGGGTAGAATTGCTGAATCACGTTAACTCTATGTTTAACTTTCTGAGCAACTGCCAGACTGTTCTCTTAAGCAGCAGCACCATTTTACATTCCCACTAGCAGTAACTGAGGCTTCCAGTTTCTCCACACCCTTGTTAGCACTTAGCATCTTTTTATTATGGCCATCCTAGTGGGTATGAAGTGATGTCTCATTGTTGATTTCCATTTCCCTAATAACTAATGCTGTTGAGCACCTTTTCATGTGCTTATGGGCCACCTGTATATTTTCTTTGGAGAAATATCTATTCAGATTCCTTGGCCATTTTTTTGTGTTGGCTTTTTTTTTTTTTGTGAGGAAGATCAGCCCTGAGCTAACATCCGTGCCAATCCTCCTCTTTTTGCTGAGGAAGACTGGCCCTGAGCTAACATCCCTGCCCATCTTCCTCCACTTTATGTGGGACGCCGCCACAGCATGGCCTGACAAGCAGTGTGTCAGTGTGCACCTGGGATCCGAACCCGGGCCGCCAGCAGCAGAGCGTGCGCACTTAACCACTACACCACGGGGCTGGCCCCCTGATTTTCTCTTTCTTAATCCTCACAATAACCCTGCTGAAGCAGGTACATTTATCTCTATTTTATACATGAAGAGACTAGAGCCTGAGAGTTTTAGTAAGAGGCATGATTGAATCTACATCTGTGATTCTTCAAAGCCCATGCTCTTTCCACTACTCTATTATTTTTTTTTTTTTTTTTGCTGAGGAAGATCAGCCCTGAGCTAACATCCGTGCCAATCTTCCTCCACTTTATATGTGGGTTGCCACCACAGCATGGCTCATGAGTGGTGTAGGTCTGCACCCAGGATCTGAACCTGCGAACCAGGGCCACCAAAGAGGAGTGTGCGAATGTAACCAATACACTACAGGGCCAGCCCCTCTATACTGCTTCTTGGTGCCAGAGTAGTTTTAAGATGATAAGTTTAGAGAGTGGCTATACTACTGGGTAGTTAATACAAAGATGAATGCCATTGGAATTGAAGCCAGAGTGTTAGAAACATTATCAACTGATTGCTGAAGTCAAAGGCGGTAGGCCTCAGAGTCATATATAAAATCAAAAAATGGAATTATATGATCTCTAAGATTCCTTCTTACTCTGAAATTCTATGATTTAATAAGCTTTTTTGGGAGCTGGCCCAGTGGCGCAAGCGGTTAAGTGCACGCGCTGCACTGCGGCAGCCCGGGGTTCGCTGGTTCGGATCCCGGGCGTTCACCGATGCACCCCTTGTCAAGCCATGCTGTGGTAGCATCCCATATAAAGTGGAGGAAGATGAGCACGGATGTTAGCCCAGGGCCAGTCTTCCTCAGCAAAAAGAGAGGACTGGCAGATGTTAGCTCAGGGCTGATCTTCCTCACCAAAAAAAAAAAAAAAAAAAGCTTTTTTGTTTTGCCCAGCATCAAAACAGCAACAGTCCTGGAATGCCAGTTCTTTAAGCGTTAGGACAAAAGGAAGAACCATCCACTTACGTACATCCCTCTAAAGCCCAGGACTGGTCCCTGTAAGAATTTCAATCCCAATTTATTAGCGAAAAAAAATCTGATCTGCTGTCATAGGCTTTTTTTTTTTCTTTTTGTGAGGAAGATCAGCCCTGAGCTAACATCCATGCCGATCCTCCTATTTTTGCTGAGGAAGACCGGCCCTGAGCTAACATCTATTGCCAATCCTCCTCCTTTTTTTTTTCCCCAAAGCCCCAGTAGATAGTTGTATGACACAGCTGCACATCCTTCTAGTTGCTGTACATGGGACACGGCCTCAGCATGGCCAGAGAAGTGGTGCATCGGTGCGCGCCCAGGATCTGAACCTGGGCCGCCAGTAGCGGAGCGCGTGCACTTAACCACTAAGCCACGGAGCTGGCCCCTATCATAGGTTTTTAAGGAGGTAGCATCTCTTACTGGCAGTTCAACCACGACTTTCCTTAACATAAATACGAAAATCTGAGTTCTTCCCTTTGTCCTGGAAAAATCAGAATGATGCCATTCTAAGCTAAGACAAACTGACTTCTCAGAACACATACAATTATTTTGCGCCAAGTGTACAGCCATTTGCCTAAAAAAGGATATAGATGGACAAATGGATAAAGTTTTGGTGCCATTACCTTTGTACTATCTTTGCTACCTCCAACACCAGATGAGCTCAAGGGACGCATTTAGGAAAACTAATACTTGTATAGAACTGCAGAGACCATGGAAAAAATAAGTAAACTGAGTCATTAACAAAGTATAAATGTGTTTTAACAAGAAATTATAGAAAACTCAAATAGAATATTTTCATTTACAGATTTTATTGAAAAATAGTTAAAATATATACATTATTTTTAAAAAACCATGCTATTGGTAAAATACTGAACTTTTCACACAAAGATCATTTAAGTTTCACTCACTCTTACCAAAGTGGCACCTTTATTTTCCTAGATAAAGATTTTGCTTAAGAGTAGGGTCTTGAGTGCCCTCTGGTAAAACTTCATGAGACTGGGTGTCCAAAAATATAACTTGGGCCCTAGAGCTCACGACTGAAAAAATTTCAACAGCAAAATGACTGCCTCTTCACATCTGACAATCTGCGGTTTGCTGCCTTCCCTCTGCCCAGGAGGAAGGCACCTTCCGTGGATGCCTTTATCTCCTCAGGAAAGGTGCTCCTCCTACTGACACTCAGCCAAGCTCAGGGCAAAAATACCTTCTTCCTAAGTTTTCATCGTCATCGTCTTCTTAAAAAAACAAAAGCTGTCATTATAAATGTGAGAAAATGTCTAAGTAATTCAGGTTATGATCCAGACCAAAAAAACAAAAAGATTAATAGGACAGCAAAAACTATAGATAAAGCTTAGCACGTAAGAAAAGCTTTATGCGTGGTCTCTGATTCTTCTCTACCCTGTCTCTATAATAATGGATACCACTACTCTAGTCAACTCTATGCCTACAGTTTCTGGGAGAAGATGACCTTTTTCTCAGATTTCAGGAAGCAGACCTATTCCAGAGAAGAGCCATTTCTAAAAGTAAACATCAACAGAGTCTAAGTTCATTCTCTAGACCAAATACTTTGGACTTGAGGTTCTTCAGTTCTCCTTGTATCTTATGTGCCCGTCTATTGCTGTCCCGGACCTCACACAGAATGGCAAGATCCTGGTTTGCCCGGGCATTAAGTGTTGCCTAGAGATTTAAAAAAAAGAAAAAGAAAAAATGATCATGGCATATGCCAGGGAAAAATCAATCATAAAGACCAGGCTATGCTGGCTCCTTTTTATGAGACTTTTAGTATACAGGATAAATGCAATCCTTAGCTTGTTTAGTGACTAACTAAAAGAAGGAAAATGTAGAGTAGAATTACAAGCAGAAAAGGCATGCGACTCTTTGCTTTCTCATACCATAATAAAGGAGTCTTGAGATAGAGATAAATAAACAACAATGAGTAAAAAGAAGAGACCAATATAAACATTATTGGTAAATTTGCCAAAGAAAGAAAGAAAGCATCTCTTCTTTGTGTAATTAACCTTGTTTGGAACATAGTGATCATTTAGGATATGTGGATGACTGGTTAAATCTCTTTAAGAAGGCTCTTGAGGCAACTTGGATTCTAAATATAGCTGTGTCTGATAGGGAAATATTACTTTCTTACTCAATTACTCACTTTCTCCATTTGTAAAACAGACATAGTTCTTTTAATCTACTTCTTGAATTGGGAGGGATGAAAATTTCTGTTAAGTTTAGCTTAGATGGAAGTATAATGAAAGAATCATTCAATTAATCAGTCTGTTTTTGTCCTCCCTCTAGCATGTACTTGTTGCACCGATTTTAGTGAGGCTTAGAGAGGATGGTGACCATTAGTGTCCACCATCAGGGAAGCAGACATCTTTCTTCTGAGGAGCCCTCATGACCGTGTTTCCTCACCTGCACCCCTTTTCTCCCTTTTGCTAATTCGGGATCAGCACTTACCTTATAGAGCATTTGTTCCAAGTCTTTCAGTTTCTGCCGGAGAGCCTTAATATCTGTCTTAAAGCCTTCTACTTCCAAGATACGCCGATTCTCCAAGGCCTCATAGCGTTTTGTCATTACCTGTAAACGCCTCCCCATCTTGTTTGTGCGATCCTAAACACAGGGAAATGGGAAGGCATTTATGAAGACGAGCAAAGCGCTCCCGAGCCATCTGCGCTTCCCACTCCACCACAGGTGGTAGAGAACTTTGCACCTTGAAGATCTCTCTCCTCACTCCCTCTTCCTCACGAATTTGGGAAAGTTCTTCTTCTAGGGAAATGCACTGCTCTTGGTACATGTTGGACAGCTTTTTCTCTTGTACTAACTTATCCTTGAGGGACTGCAAGTCAAAAGGAAAAAAAAAATTAGTATTCAGTTCTATAATTTAGGTAATTCAAATAGCACTTAGATAAAGAAAGAAGGGAAAGGAAGGATTTCCAAAAGTACAAAATGAGTTAAAGAACAAGAAAGCAAGCAACTTTGAAGAACATTTAAAAACCTCCTATTTCTAAAGGATTCTCTTAGCCTTTTCTAAAGTGTACAAAGTAGAAATTCTTTAAAATAAAACAAATATTTTTGGCTCTGAAAAGAGTCAGAAAATGGAGCTCAGAATTGTCCCAAGTAAGACATTACAATATGTGTTCTGGGACACGTTTCTGAAGTTCTTCTTTAAGAGAAAGAAACATCAACAATAACATAACACTTATACATGTTCCATTGAGCAGCCAGAATGATCTTTAAAAAACTTAAACCAGATCATGTTACTTCCTTACACACAATCTTTCAGACATAACAACGTTTAGAGCTAAATATTCTTACCAAGAATGTGAAGGCCCTATAGAGCCATCCATAATTGGCTGCTGCCCACCCTTACAACCTCCTTGTGTACCACTTCCTCCTTGCTTATTCCTTTATAACCACAATGACATCCTTCCTTCTCCTTGAACATACCCCAGGGCCTTTAAACTTGTTCTTCCCTCTGCCTGGAATGCTCTTCCCCTAGGTCTGTATGGCAAGCTTAATGCCATTTTTCAGGTCTCAGCAAAAACATCAGACTTAAGAGAGTGTCCTTGGGCTGGCCCTGTGGTGTAGCGGTTAAGTGCGCACGCTCTGCCGCTGGCGGCCCGGGTTCAGATCCCGGGCGTGCACCGACACACCACTTGTCAGGCCATGCTGTGGCGGCGTCCCATATAAAGTGGAGGAAGATGGGCACGGATGTTAGCTCAGGGCCAGTCTTCCTCAGCAAAAAAGAGGAGGATTGGCATGGATGTTAGCTCAGGGCTGATCTTCCTCACACACACACAAAAAAAACAAAAAGAGAGTGTCATTGTACTTCCCTACAAAAGTAGACTTCCAGCAACTACATTTAATCTTCATATAATCCTTTTAATTCCTTAATACCACTTTTTAATAATTTATCATTTTATTTATTTATTTTTTTGGTGAAGAAGATTGGCCCTGAGCTAACATCTGTTGCCAATCCTCCTCCTTTTGCTTGAGGAAGATTGTCCCTGAGCTAACATCTGTGCCAATCTTCCTCTATTTTGTATGTGGGAAACCTCCACAGCATGGCTTGATGAGCAGTGTGTAAGTCTGTGCTTGGGATCCAAACCTGCGAACTCTGGGCTGCCGAAGCAGAGCACGTGAACTTAACCACTACACCACCGGGCCAGCCCCCTATCATTTTCTTAATTATTTGTTAATGTTTCAGTTCTTTCTCACCCATTAAAATATAAATGCCATGAAGCTCATTTACTCTAGCTCATTTACTGCTGTAGCCCCAAAGCCTAGCCCACAGTAGAAGTGCAATCAATATTTGTTGAATGAATGAATGAATCAATCAACAGTTTAATTTTCTTTTCTTTCTTTTTTTTTTTGTGAGGCAGATTAGCCCTGAGCTAACATCTGTTGCCAATCCTCCTCTTTTTGCTGAGGAAGTTTGGCCCTGGGCTAAAATCCGTGCCCATCTTCCTCTGTTTTATATGTGGGACGCCGGCACAGCATGGCTTGATAAGCAGCGCGGATGTCCACACCCGGGATCCGAACCTGCAAACCCCGGGCAGCTGAAGCGGAGCAAGTGAACTTAACCACTATGCCACTGGGCCAGCCCCCAGTTTAATTTTCTAAATCCCCAAACACTATAACATGAACTACCCTTTGAAACCTATTTCTTGAGGTTGCTGCTACAACAACTTCCTGGACTGAATGGATCTTGTACGACAATTCTTAGGTTCTTTGGCATTCTCTGAGTTCCTTCAACTCTTCCATAAAAATAACCAAATTCTGTAAGATATAAGGAGACTACCTTAATATATTCATTTTGGTTATAATGACTCTCATGAACAACTGGCCAAACTTTGCCAATTTTATCTTCTTTCTTCTTACACTGCACCCTGTATTGCTTAATCTTTGATATCAAATGATCCTTTTCAAGCATCCACGACTTTTCTTTCTTTTGGTTTTCAAATCTGAGTTGCAAAAAGTCTCTGGTGCTCTCATAGAGTAGTTCTTGGGTGTGATGGAGACTATGAAAGAAAGTACAAATGTGGACATGAAGATGCTTACACAGCACATATAACATATAGTTATTCCAAACAAAGGGAAGACAGAGGTTCTTTAAAAATTGTGCAGTAGATAAATTCTGTAAATTATTATTAGCAGTTTTAAAAATATACTAATCTGATCACTAGCAATCTTACTTTTGTACCGGACAAAGTATGATGTATCTATGCATGCTCACTCTTTCATAGACTGGTCTTTACAGATACTTCCCAGAGTGCTAATTTCAGGTTATATAATTAGAAGAAGTACAGAAATATTTACACATACCCTGAGAAAGTATGGACTATTCCCAGGCACTAGACTTCACAATAAAGAACTAAATCATGGGGTCGGCCTGGTGGCGCAAGCGGTTAAGCGCATGCGCTCCGCTGCAGCGGCCCGGGGTTCGCTGGCTCGGATCCTGGGCGCGCACCGATGTACCGCTTGTCAAGCCATGCTGTGGCGGCGTCCCATATAAAGTGGAGGAAGATGGGCACGGATGTTAGCTCAGGGCCAGTCTTCCTCGGCAAAATAAGAGGAGGATTGGCAGATGTTAGCTCAGGGCTGATCTTGCTCAAAAAAAAAAAAAAGAACTAAATCATGGTGCTCTGACTGAGGGTTAACACAAGTTCTAAAATGTCAAAAACAGCTTTGCTTTTGTTTCTGCTGTGCTCCACATGTAAACTGCCCTATAGCAAATCCTGTTCTTTTTTCAAGACCCACTTCCTCTATGAAGTCATCTTGACAACTGTAGCCCATTTAATTTCTCCATTCTCCAAAATTCTATATCAGTTTAAATCTATACCCCGTGTTATAATTCAACGCTTGCTTATATACTACGTCATGTTTTAACTGTCAACATGCATGCTTTCCAACCTAAGTGAAAGCATATACCTTTTTTATCATTTATTTTTGCCCTGCCACCACCAGATTGTCATGGACAGTACCAACTATTAGACATACACAAGGTACTAAATAGATTCTTGCCAACTATTGAGATTTAAGAATAGACAAATGATGTTTCTATCTTCAAAAAGGAATATCCCTAGAAGTTAGCAACGCATCAGTTTAACATCAACACCTAGAAAAATACTGTATCAAATGATTAAACTGTTTGCAAAGAGTATTAAATATCAGGAGGCAATCACTAGCTTTCCACTGAATAAATAACGTCAGATCCATTTAGTTTTTTTTTTTTTTTTGGTGAGGAAAATTGGCCCTGAGCTAACTAACATCTGTTGCCAATCCTCCTGTTTTTGCTTGAGGAAGATTGTCCCTGTGCTAACATCTGTGCCAATCTTCCTCTATTTGTACATGAGACACTGCCATAGCATGGCTTGATGAGCGGTGTGTAGGTCTGCGCCTGGGATCCGAACCTGCAAACCCCAGGTCACCAAAGCGGAGTGTGGGAACTTCACTACGCCACCAGGCCGGCCCAGCCACTTAGTTCTTTTCATGAGTAACAGGGTACACAGATAAGGGGAAAATGAGAGCATAATACTAGGCACAAAGTACAGTAACTGTCACCAGACTAATCTACGTGTATATTTATTCAGGTATATGTGTGTGTGTATGAAGAGGAGACTGATTCAGTTAGCACAGGATGTCTTGCTCTCAGTGAATTATTTTTACTCTATTATGTTCTCAATTACAAACTGGGAAACTATGGTCTTGCTAACGTACAAATGGGCTGAAAGTGACAACCAAAGGGCAGTCATTAATGGCCTTGGATTTCATGCCACTCAATATCCTTAGGATGGGGCCGATCCCGTGGCTTAGCGGTTA